TAAGACAAACCATTCAACTTAAAAATGGCCAAAAGAAAAATTGAAAATGAATAAAAGATTGAACAGAAACTTCAAAATGGAAAACATACAAATGGCCAATAAAAGAATACATTAAGTCATCAAGGACATGTAAATTAAAAATCACGATGAGAGACCATTTCCTATCTGGCAGAATGGCTAACATCGGAAAAACCAACAGCATACACGTGAGAAGGAAGTGGGGCACCTGGAACGCTCATCCAATGCTGGCTGGAGTGTAAAATGGTACAATCATTTTGGAAAACTTCTTGGTAGTTTATTATAAAGAAAAACACACACCTATTTGGTAGTTTATTAGAAAGACAGGCAAACACACACCTATTTTGGCCCAGCAATTAAGCCTAAATTGCAAAAGGAATGAATATGAGAGAACTCGTTCACAGCAGCTTAATATTCATAATAGCCAAAAAACGTGAAAGCAATCCAAATGTCAATAGGAAAATGGATTGACAAATTGGGTCTATTCATGTTAACGGAATACTACCCACTAATAAAGGAAGAATAAATGACCAATACATGTAACATTAAACTGTTGTGTGAAAGAAACCAGATACAAAAGAGTACTTATTCTATGATTCCATGTATATGAAGTTCAAGAACAGAAAAGAACATTTCATAGTGATAGTAATCCGAAAGTGTTTGCCAGAGCGGGTGGAGGTTGATTGGAGGGGGATGTCAGAAAACCTGAATGACGGAAAATGTTCTGTATGCTAACTGAAGTTTGGTTATTTAAATATATTTAACATTGGTGCATTTGACTGCATGTAAATTTTATATCAATTAAAAAGGAGGGCTAGTAGGGCTCTCTAACTGTCTTGACATCTTCAGGTTCTCCTGAAGAATGTGATTTGATCTGCACTCTTTGACCCGATCAGATGGAACAGTATCTGAACTACTTTCAGTCTGACAGCTATCATGGCTGTCTCATTTCTTTGGGACCATCCATGTAAGGTATTTCCTCCAGAGGAAAAGAATGAACTTGCTGGTTTTCCTCACATCCAACAGTAAGAGTCAACCAATAATTCCAGGTGCCAGAACCCGTGTAAGAGTGTTCTGAATTCTTGTAGTCACAGAGTATCCTTTTTAGGCCCATCATTTTCCAGGAGACAACAGACAACCTACACTAAACACATTCCTTACCTACAGCAAGCTATGGAGGTGGGGTAGATGGGAGAAAGTGACAAAGTGGATTTGGGAAGAAGGACACCTGGGACAGACTGAAGACATTCATTCTGGCCAATACCACTAAACACATTCCTTACCTACAGCAAGCTATGGAGGCGGGGTAGATGGGAGAAAGTGGATTTGGGAAGAAGGACACCTGGGGCAGACTGAAGACATTCATTCTGGCCAATACCGGAAATAAAACTGCAAATATGTTCTGGTTGCCTGGGAGCTAACAGCGCCTTGGAGCTCAGGACATTTCAGTCCTCTCCACATCTACCTCGAGGGGCGTGGCCTCGGAGGGCCTGCTCTTTGATCTAAAACTACAGGACACAGAGGTCAGAGGCTCTTTACTAACTTTAATTGCCTCTAAGCCACTACACGAAGAATAATTAATACTCAACAGTACTACTCTGCAAATTATAGAGACAGATTTGGGGCTCCTAGTATTATACTAGAGATCAGAATAGGCCTAAGAAGATTCTGCTTTAGGTTCGATCATATTGGGGCAACTGACTTTAACTGTGGGAGAACTGTGGGGAAGATCTCCAGTGATTTTTCACAGAGAAAGTTATTTTTTCTAAGTAAAATGGGGAAACAATAAGATTTGAAATGTTGATTCAGAGTTTCTTTTGAGACACAAATGGATACCACTTGTGTCAAGGAAGTTAAAGAACTAATTAGTTAACATCTAAGATTTGCCATCTTCATAGGATCTACTATACATTTTCAGGAACTACACAACAAATATGAGAAAGGAATGATTGATAAAAATTTGGAGGGTTTTTTTTTTTTTTTAACAAACGAATGAGAAGGGAGAATATAAGATGCTTCTTACAAGAAAGGGAAGAAGTATAAGTATGAGGGTCTGTTTCCTAAGGAATAGAAGTTATAGAAATGAAGGAACAGGGGTTTCTTTCAGAAACTCCTATGCCAAAGGGCAGAGAAGAAATTAAATAGTAAGCACATCCACATTTACATTTGTATTAAAGATCGGGAACAACTACCAGTACTTTTATAGATTTTTTTTTTAATGACTAAGTTGGATGTTTTACAAGATGCATCTTTTCTTCTAGCAACAAAGCTGGAAGAGCATCTCGGTGGGGCTTCGTGACAAATGACTACAGCCTCTGTAGCGGCAAGAGCATATCTTTGTATAACAACGTCAGCTCATTGTTTCTTCCCAGCCAAGTTATTTTGAGGGTTCATTTTCCCAAATCCCAATACCCACTGTGCCCTCATCTAATCTTTCCCTGGCTAAATGGCTGGCCAAAGGCATTTCTGACTCAATTCTTCAGATACACTTCTGACAAATCAGCAAATGAAAGGACTTCCCATTTGTTATGGACTGAAAGTTTGTGCCCGCCCCCCCTCCCCAAGTTTATATGTTGAAATTCTACTCCTTAATGTGATGGAATTAGGAGGTGGGGCCTTTGGGAGGTGATTAGGTCATGAGGGTGGAGCCCTCATGAATGGGATTATTAGTGCCCTTCTAAAAGGGACCCCAGAGAGCTCCCTTGTCCCTTCTGCCATGTGGGGACACAGCAAGAAGATGGCTATCTAGGAACCAGCCCCAAGAACTATGAGGAAGAAAATCTGTTGTTTACAAGCCACCATTTGATGTCATTGAATGTGAAAGATCCCATTACAGTTATAAAAAAAGTATATACACCCACTGCGGTAAAAAAAAATTATCAAGGGCCTGAGAGATTTCGACGAATGTCTAGAAGCCAGTAAATGATGAATAAGTACTGACTGCTGAAGCTGAGCAGAGGCGGCTCACAGCCCAAAAGTTTCTCTGAGAAGGTTGGTGCTGAGAAGGGAGATAACTGACTTACCCAGTAAAACTCCGAAGACGCTCTAGATTCAGAAAAAGCAAGTACAATACAGGGCAGAAATGCGAAGGAGGGTAGAAAGGAGAAGATTAACGGAAAAGTCTGAGTGTCAACAATTGTTCCTTCCAAGACGAATTCCTGTCTTTATAAAAAACAACAAATGATATAGGCCCTCAGGCAAAAACTAAAAATCTTTAAAGGGAGAAGTTTCTCTAAAATTTTTTTTAAATGCCTGGTGAAGAATAAACAACTAGTGTGGTTCTGAGAACCCCAAAGCCAAGCCCTCTTGACTCTGACACTCAGCGGCTCCCCCCACAAAAGGACCGGCTCAGCATCACTGGAGGAAAGCCTGCCAGGGGCAAGGCACACCCACACGTACAGAGCCTCGGTCGGCCTTAACGCCACCTCCTCTGTATGTGAATGAACAATCGCGGATAAGCTTACATTTAAAGAAAACCTGTAACATGAATGGGGGAAACCAGGATAAACAACGAAAAGACTCTGGAAGAAACAGAAAATTCAAGGGAGCAAAGATATTCTATAAAGAACTCAAAAACAACTTTTCTTACTGTCCCTAGAAATATCTGAGAAGCAATAATTACCTCCACATAAAGACAATAACAATAACCCTGCAAGAAATAACAACCCAAGAAAAATGTTTACAGAATTATAAAATGTGAGCTTCAAACAGGTCCAGAGCGCTATCTGCAAGTGCCTGGGTACACGAACCTCACAGCTGTGATTCTGACAATTTAATTCTACGGCACAGACAGTACCTCACCTAACATGTGCTATACTTAGAGCACAGCCAGAAGTTTGAAATGGCACGTGCAGGACATGTTCATGGTAATAAGACGACCATGACACAATGTCCCATTGTTCAAGGGAACCCGAGTCTGTTTTAATTCCCCTGCAAGCTTACAGGACAGCCTGTAAGCTTCCCTCAATACCTGTCTGTCCCTTCCTACAGGAAGGGAGAAACCAAAGCTCGTGTTTTTAGGGTGACATAATGAAGACTCTTGGGAAGTATTAATAAGGAAGAACTTGTTTAATGTGAAGACTTCAAGATATTAAAACATATTGATGAGATGCATGTGAAATCTTCCCTGGAGAACTTCACAAAGAAGATAAACATCCCTCCCACCTGGGTGACCTGCATACCGTCTTTCCTGAAAATAGAGGGCTATTGTCCCATTGGTTCAAAACCTACTAGTCCCAAAGCCATCTTTTTATAACCAAAAATTCTGTAATGCTCTATTTACGATTCTGAAATAAAATTCATTGATAGCGATTAACTAGTAAACATATAATTTAAAAAATATCTATATCCTAAATGTAATACAGAAGAGAAACTAAAAGAAAAGCAATTTGTAATAAAAATAGTACATATTTCAATACGTAAAAAACTTTCAAGTCCAATGAACTAAGAACGAGTCCAATTAACAATGAAATAGATGCTTAAAGAATTAGTTTGAACTCTAAGAGGGCAAAGCAGAAGCCTTCTATATTAAAAGTACAGGAAAACGAAAGAGGAGAGGTACAAGAGGACAACAGAATGAAAATGAGTATATTCCGTGTATGTTAAAAGTATGCAAATGTTATCTCGTGTTTTTATGTAAAGTGGAGTTAGCAGTAGGCTTGAATAATTATAAACTAAGTTCTCACTGCATGGATATCCAACAAGACAGTTGATAGTCATGTGGGATACAGGGCAATTCTTTCTATCTTTTCCACTGTGGGATATCTAACATCTATGACTCCCCCCACAAACCACATTAAATACCCTTCCTTGTAGAACCAAACACCCTCCCCAATTTCTACTATGTCCGCTAGGGGGCGGTACTGTTTCCATGAGAACTCCTGGCCGGCTGACCTATGGGCAAGTTTTCCTTCTAGCCTTCAGCCTATCACACTGGGAATCAAATCCTAAAGGACAAATCAGCAACATATCTAAGAAACATATTAGTTTAATATGGAAAATTACATTGAAGAAGTTAGTTTGGGCTTATACCATTAACTATAGCCATAGTCCACATTATTTCCTCTTTTTGAATTCAAGACAGTGGGTTACTCCATACAGAATACGGACTGAAAAGCTGTATCTCTGCGACACCTATTTAGCACACAGAATACGGACTGAAAAGCTGTATCTCTGCGACACTTATTTAGGTAGCACGAAGTGATCCCGATTTTAGAATTTTCAACATTGAAATCTGGTTAATTAATGATAAAAAAAAAGGGAGTTTTTCATAGGACTCTACAACTTTCATTTCCTCAAAACAAGAATTAATGCATTCTTTCACATGTGGTCATTACAGGAAGAAGGGGGGAGCCATTTACTGTAAATGTCTTTCTGATGCAATTCTACCACCTCTTTCAAAGAGAGAATTCATCCAAGAGCCTTAGTCACTTCTTCGAGAAAAATGCCACTGTACTGAATATACACAGACTAAACCACATGCCTGAGGAGAAGCAGAGCTGATCCCACCAGCAGAAAACAGATGGAGAGGGTGGCAGAGGAGGGGATCTCATGTCAGAACAGATTAAGCAACATGGCTCAAATTTTGGCCTCTGATACAGAGAAAAGTCTGACATATGTAACATCGTTTCGTAAGTCAAATGCAAACATCCATTTCCCCTCAGCCCAACTTTTAAAGTATACTTCCTAAAAATGTAAGATTTTAGTTCTAAACCAGGAACTTATGCGTAATTAGTCTCTTAGCAACTATAGTTATTGCATTTTTTAAATTTCGTGCACAGCAAGAAAAACGGAATGCTACATTTAATATTTGAAAACGAAAGTACATTTCGAAGAGGGTGAATTTCACAACAAAACGGTGACGTACTGGATAACAGTATAAAACAATTCAGAGGGAAAAACTTATGACAGACAGTTCTGAGCTCTTCTTAAAGAGAGAATTAATTTTTCTAAAATCTCAAACCTACCTGACGGGGCAAAAGGAATGATTTCTCCAATTTATCCTTACCTGAATTACTATTAATTCTTCTAACAGCCAGATGCACCTCCTTGTTTCTGTGGAAAGCCCAAAGCCCAGGAGTCACCCAAGACTCGGGGCTGGTTGCTGCTGGAGCCTAAAATCCCCTCGATGAATGAAACTGCACGTCGTAATATACACATTCCGAGCCAGCTATTGGCTAAGTGAAGGCAACGCGTGTGGAAGTCTGATTTGCCACTTTGGGGGCATGCCTCTTATATCCCATCTGAGAAAAGACGAAACACTCCACTCTTGACTGAGTCAAATCTAGAAAAGGTTCGTTTTTCTGTCGCATTCTCCCTAACACTACGGAAACCACGAGAACCACAGTTAAGATCTGACTCCTTCACCAGGCAATGTCAATGAAAAAAAGAATTAGTATGTCGACACTGGAAATTTACAAATGACTCTCACACTACTGACAAAGTTTTTTGTGTTCTGTGACTGCCTAAGAGTTATACATCAGTATAGGCATAGTACACATATTTTTTTTTTCAGCCAAGAATTTTAAGCTGTGGTTTGGGGGCCCAGAATTACCACGGAGTGGTAAAAATTCTCAAAAGAATCTAATCTTTGTCCTACACTGATGATGAACCGAGAAAGTAAAACCAAGCTTGATGGAGCAATGGTGTGACTGCTCTTTCTACAATTAAGACTTTTTCAACGTGTAGACAATGTGCATTAGAATGATCTAAGATTGAACTCAGAATCTCTGGATCGGCGCCCAGGAATCGGCATGTTAACTAGCATGCTAGGTCATTCTACATACCTTTAAAATTTGAGGACTACTTTTCCTGCCAATGGAGCTTAACTGCTGATCATAGCTGTTGCCACTTTCCTTTATTAAATTACTTTGTTTTTGGTTACTGCTGAAACCAGAAGCAATAAGAACACTAACACTGTTTCAGGACAATTTGCGGCTTTCACTCCAGGAAAAGGAGAACCGGTCTAGGTTTGCCTGACCTCCCCTCCACATCCACCTCTATCACCCCAGTAAGAGAGAAAAAAGTGCTCAAGCTGCAGAACCTGAGAAATGCAGTACCTGAGGTTGACCAGGAACATTATCATTAAAAGATGCTACCACAGGAAAACAAAACAAAAAAAAAACCCATGCTAAACACACGAGAAAGAAAACGAGGGAGAGAGGACGCTAATGTTTACTGACTGCTTACTATGTCCCACATCAAGAATTTTATATACATCTTTCGTTGCCAAAAAAAGTCCCACCAAAAAATAAGTTCTTCGGAAGCGTATGAACACGCAAACTCGGGAGTCTACACCTAACGGCGGGGACACTGCACTGCCTTTCTGTGCCCGTCTCCGTCACCGTTCTCCTAGAACCACAAAAGATTTTCTGAGGAAACCGAGTATCTCTGCCGGATGCATATTCACCATGATATCATCCTCCCATACTTCTTGCTCTTGGTTCCTTCTTTATGCAACCTGTGGACTTACTTTCATCAAATTCTGAATCATTTGCCAGCATCTATTTTCCATTTAAAAAAATTTACTTCAGTCCACAGTGCCGGGATGGGGGAGACCCCCATTATTTTACTGTAAATAGGAAGTTATTTGAACATTGCCTAATGATGTTTTTATGTTTTACTTTAGTAAAATGGGTATCACTTTTTCCTGTGATATGCATAAAGTTTCCAAGGAAACTTTCTGGATAAGAGAAGCCCAACCTAGAAAACAGCGTTATTTATGAACAAGTCCTTCCAAACGGTCCCCTCTGTGTCTCAGGACGACTATCCGCTTTGACACCCTCACACAGACAGGACTATAAGGGAGCTGACTTTACACCTTTAACTTTTTACTGTGAGCCGATCTAGTGTATCTTGTGTTGCAAGTATCTTGTATAACAGGTAAAATATGGATATGTCGGGGCAGTAGTTCTCAAACTATATAGTAGCAGTGGGATCCTTTATTATTCCCCCAAGTGAAATCTTAGGTGAAAGCCCAATACACACGCTAGATGAAAGCAGAGCATCCTGGTTGATGTGGCAAACTACAGGATGCACAGCCCCCCTTATCTGGGCCTGCTTACTCATCTCGCCCCCCAGCATGGCTGCTGAGGCAACACTGCGAGAATCCGCGGGCTCTATTTTATCTCGTCTCAGACCCCGATGATTTTTAAAAAATTGTACTTTACGATTTTATCCTATGTACAGCTTTTTGTCTCAAAGTTGGGCAGATGCTAAATTTTGAAAAAGCCACGTCAAATCATATTTCGAATACTGCTTACTACATTAAGCTTAGGAACTCTGTTCCATGTTTGATTTGTGTAGACCCTAACATAAAAATTATAACCTCTATTTTATAATCTCTATTTTTCTCTCTTTGGCAATAATACCTTTAGAAATTCTGCAGGTTCAAGGTCACTTGATAAAAACAAAGTTTTATCATGAAAATGCATTTCATTTATTTATTTAGTTAGTTAGGTGAGACAACCCTTGGTTGACTTCACAGATTGCAAAGACCTTGTCAGTTTACAATCCCTTATTTTTTTATTTTTTACACCTACAGCATCTGGTCTTCCTAGGTGGTCTCCCATCCAAGAACTAATCAGGCCCGACCCTGCTCAGCTTCCGAGATCAGATGGGATCGGACTTGTTCAGGGTGGCATGGCCGTAAACAAGATAATGCATTTTAAATGAATCCTTTTTATCGTCATCATGACATATAAGACCTCTCACCACGATTTCACTTTTGTCGGTGGCCATTCGCTTACTATATACGGTACAATAAGTTTCAGACTATATACTAAATAAACTCAAGCCGATAAAAAAGATAGTACCCCGAGATTCAAAATGAGGAATGAATTTAAAGGTAATCATTACTAAAAAAAAAAAAAGGGGGGGATAATACCAGGTCAGCACAGAGAACAGAGATTGAAATGACTTCATGAAGACCAATACTTCTAAAACTCTGCTTCAAATTCTGCTAAGAGGAAAATGGAATAGCCTTTCCTTTTAAACATTTTCTAACTATTATTTCCCAGTCTTGGAAAAAAGGTAACGTGTCCTGCTGGGCAAAGCCGTCACATTTCAAGGTACAGTGAGAAAACGGCCTGCGTGAAGGAGCTTTCCTGAGTCACCCAGGACCACCGACCGAAGCAGGGAACGGCCCCAAAGTTTCGTAACCCACTGTCCCTCAGAATGAAGTGTTCGAAAAGCAGCAAACTTTGTGTCCAAGAGAGTGCCATAAACACCCACACACATAGCATGGAAAAAGCGGTGTCATTTCAAAATCCATGCTTAACCATGTTCTTAGTTTCGGAATACTCTGAATTCTATGATTTCCACTTAAAAATTACTATTGAATAAAATTGAAGGAGCACTCCAGTTGCACTTAGATGATTTTTAAATAGTCAACCTCTTTCCAGGAACGAAGCATGGTTAAGAGAAATAATGTCATGCAGTCGCCCTCAAACACCTGGCACGTTCCCAAAGTCTGTCTATGTTCGTGGTTTAGGACTGGAGCTACTTCTCCCTTGGGAATGATGCTGTTAATGACGGAATCCAGGTCATTCCACAAAAACTTACTTCACGCACAATGTACCTGTAATACTATGTATCTGAAATAACATGTCTTTTATAACTGTGTCGCAATACTGGTAATTATGTAAGAAATAAAATAAATGACCTACGAATAATTCTTATTTTTCTGTATGTAGAGCGTGTGAGAAGGTTTAATCAGAAGAGGATGAACCAGACTGACTCTTAAGAGATTTGAAAGTTGATGACACTGGTTATTATGCCTTATTTTACCTCCAAATATACTTGTGTTCTCTTCTCTTGATGATTATATCCCTAACTCTTGAGTTTACCGGCTATGACTAGGGCCACTGGGGGGCTCTCCAGAATTGAACAAAGAGGGAAGAAAGAAAAATAAGCTAAGAGAGAGAGAAATTTAGACGAAATAGGATGCAGAAGAATGTATGAAATTAACAGAGACTATCATCTGAAAAGGGAGCAGGAAAAGAAGATGGGGCAATACTTCGAGTTCCAAATTAGACAGAAACGGTGTTGGATCAGACGCACTGACCGCCTGAGCCCGGGCAGCGTGGCTGCTGGGGCAGCAGAGGCGCTGGGAGGCTGACCGAGGTGATGTGCAATGGTCATGTGCATGACAGAATGTGTGCAAAGCAAGGGTTTATCATCTGGGAAGGCCTTGTGTGGACCACATTGTAAGAATCTGGTGGTCATTCAAAGAAGAAGTTATTTGCTCTGGCTGTTGACTCAGCTGACGAGAATAGAGAGTCAGGGTTCAGCGTGGGGTAATGGGTGGCGTGTGTTCAGCCTCCGGTCACAGAGCATGAACAGTTCTAAGCAGTAAGCTCCCGAACAAACGGCACTGGCCAAAGTAGGGACAAACCAACGCATACAGACAGCTCAGGATAAAGCAACAGCTCTCCAGAGCTCTGTTCTAACAATAGATCACTTTCTGCATGACATTCTTAACTCCTTATTAAACTGGGGAGCAGTGGGGTGCAGGAGGAATTAGGTATCATGATCTGAAAAACCTGTTACTATGATCATACTTAACCTTAAAACGTTTACTGAAAATTATTATTAAACCCTATGTTATAGTGATAGGAGTTTTATACATTTTTAATGTTCCAATGAACATGAAGGGCAGTGATCGTTAAAGGCCTTTTAAATGACAACACAAACTGTGGCCTTACTAAACAGATTGGTGACATTTAAGTGTGTGTGTGTGTGTGTGTGTGTGTGTTTAAAGCTGGTGAATTCCAGTTCCGCTATCTAAGGAAGTTAGCAAAGAGAATGGAAAGGAAGGGAATATTGTTTATAATCCAAGGCATCTTCCTTTTCTTTTGGACGAGAGTTAAAGTGCTCTATTGCAGTATTTTTCAAACTATAGAGTCATCCATGAGTGGATTTAATGCACTGCAAGCAGCATTTTTACAAAACTAAAACAGAATGGAACAGAAAAATAGGAGTTCATCATACTTGGTGTAACTA